CCACTGACTTCACATTGAACTTGGAAATCCGGATCTTATTTTTGATGCTGAGGGCTGTTGACCTCCCCACAGACTTGAGAGAAATGAAAGCTTGTCTTGCTTTCCCGATCCTCGCTGCCTTGATATCCTCGTCAGTTCCGCCTGTAGTTGGAAAACAATGCTTCTCAGGTAGGTAAATGAGGTTGTTTCTTTCTGATTCCCCCCCCCATTTATGCTGATTGTTGTTGTTGCCCAGGAATCTTCATCACCTCTATTTTCTCTATGTTCACCTGAAGTTATTCCTTCCTATATTTGATGCTTTTTCTGCCAACTTGTTGCTTTTCACTTGCATATCTTCCAATTTGTGGGAAATCAGACATATATCATCGGCGAAGTCCAGATCCTCCATGTTTTTTGTGAGGGTCCTTTTTATGCCTGTTTCCTCGCTGCCTGATGTCTGTCGCATTATCCAATCTACTGCAATCAGGAAAATCATTGGCGATAGTAGGCAGCCTTATCTTACTCCCGTCTTTAATTCGAAAGATTTCGTGAGTTTCCCGTTGTGGATTACTTGGCATGCAGCGCTGTCGTACAACTGTTGAATGAGATGTTTAATTATTGGCGGCACCCCGTAGTCGAAGGCCTTTTCAAAGTCGAGGTAGAGAGCTGACTGACATTCCAAGCTCTGTTAAATGATGATCCATAGTGTTGCGATTTGATCAATGCATGACTTGTTCCCCCTGAATCCAGCCTGTTCCGGTCGAAGTTTTCCATCCACAGCATGTTTGGTTCTCTCCAGGATGATGCAGCTCAGTATTTTGCTTGGGAAGGACAGAAGCATAATGTCGCGCCAGTTCTTGCATTGGCTTAAGTTTCCTTTCTTTGGCAGTTTGAATAGATAGCTTTTTTCCAATCGGCAGGCACCTTGCTTTCTTAGCACACCTTCTCCAGTAATAGTGTCATCAAGTCGGCTGACATCTCTGGGTCTGTTTTCAATGCTTCTACTGGAATTCTATCTGGTTCTGCTGCACAGGATTAGTTGTTTTTATTCAACAATTTTGAATTGAGAGGAAAAAACAAGCTAACAGAAAAGCGATAACACGTTTGAGTTCATGTATTTCACTTTTTTGCATCATAATCAACCACTAACAACTTTAATAAATAAAAAAAGACTCAAAATATCAGTCAATACAATGCAATAATGATTGCTTTTGGTTACGTTATTAATATTTGTTCCGAATGTACCACATATACCTTCTACACGCTTTTCTCCGCAATCACTTTCAGTTGGCTCCACAGCTATTCTGAGCTTCTTTGTTAGTCTAGCTGTGATTTGAGCTTTTATGTACTGACATGACTGGACAGTTTTTCTCCTTTTACTCATAACTGGCCAAGTTAAACTTTAAGCACCACTAACTACCAATCAGTGAATGACCTCGAATGGTCCGATGAGGTTCATCCACATGAGTTGAAGGTTGTATTCCGCTTTATTCATATCAAATGCCTGCTCTAACGAAGTAACGCTTGCAGTTCAATGGGAATAAGGTTTTGCAGCATTGCCTGGAAGGATTTGTTTACGTGGTGGTGTCATGAGTTTAAAAAGCTTTAGCAGGTCGATTGATGGATATGTCCGTCGTTGTGCAATTTGCCTGAGACGAGCTAGTATTAGGGAAAGTAAGCTTATGATTTTAATATTTCATTGGAATATTTTTTGCTAGGTTGCATCTCTCCCTAACTCAGATTTTGTATATTTGGGAGATGTTTCTGTCACATGTTAGAGAAAGAGTGGAAGACATGAAAAGATTAGCTGTCTTTGATCATAGGTGCCTGCGCTCTATTTCCCGTGTAAAGTGGCATAATAAGGTGAGCAACATTGAGGTTAGGCCTTGGTCGAGTGCTAGGTAAACAGGGGAAATCAATCGACGAAGTCGTGAAGTTACAAAGACTGAGATGGTTAGGACATGTGTTACGTATGCCAAGCCATCGCCTCCCTCGACGAGCAATGTTAGCGGATATAGGGTCAGGCTGGAAAAAAGCTAGCGGAGGTCAAACAAAAACTTGGCACCAGTCAATGAAATCCACAACAGTTGGTCTAAGCCACGTAGAAAGGTGTAGACTTCCTGACTGGTTGGGGTCCTCGGGACGGTAAAAATCTATGGTTGGAAACAATTGGTGACATGGCTCAAAATCGTTCTCAATTCATGGCCCAGATGCATCCACTCCTTGTGACTTATGATCTCCAATGAAACTGTTTTGTTCTTCGTTATTACTCCTTTGTCTCACAGCTCTGCTCACTGTTTCTGTTATGCTTTTCTTGTACTTTCTTCTCTTGCTTCGCGTGCTACACGGAGTGTGGCGACTTGAACTTCCGCACATTTGTGCAAAGTTCTATGTCGAAAACAGACAGACAGACAGACATTTAGAGAAAGATACCTTATGTAAAAGTCTTTATGCCTTTTTTTATAAATATACGTTTTCCATGGGCCCAGCCCATATATCTGATTGTGTTCTCCGGACTGGTAAATCCTAGGGCTCTGATTTTCACCCTTCTACGAGCCAGTGCTTCATTGCACCTTCAGTCGTCACCAATTCCATGAATACCATTCGGCCAACATAGGGCTACAGCTGCGCACCTCCATTGCCTTCTGTTTTCTGCCAACTTTTTCACTCTGCTCCAAGTCTGCCCACATGCTTTCATCTCCTCCTCACATGACCTCCTCCAAGTCACCCTTGGACGACGGATTCGCCGCTTCCCTTTAGGGTTCCACTCGAGGGCTTGTCTAGTGATGGCATCCAAGAGTAGCGATATGATTGGTCTCTTCAAATTTATTCTGAAGATTATTCCTAATACTGATTGCTATTCTGCTAATTCAACGATTTAACATTATCATCGACTGAAGTAAAAATACTCCCAAAATAAATCACAAAAAATTTCAAAACACATGCCTTTTATATTTCTACTTTTTTTCTCTTATTTGTAGAAGCAATTATTACACAATCCACCGATACAGTGTATTCAGGGTATACAAATGGCTACGAATCCCATGGTTACTGATCGAAGGCAATAAATACAGACATAGAACTGGATCACGGGTTAACATCCAGTCAGAGAACCAGGCATCAATCCTGTAACCAAGCAAACCCCTCTAATCAAGCAACAATCACTTAGGCTACAGATATTTCCTCCTCTGAATAAATGTAAGCCTTCCCGGGCTTTATCAGAGCTTGTGGGAACCAAGGATATAAAGGAGAAACTTCGAAAAAATTCAACAGATTTCTTTGCAACACTAATATCAAAGCAGTATAGATAATTGAGCTTTAATAAATCACCCTAATTCATAATCAAACCTTACTCTAAGCGATATCACCAGATCTCACAATTGTTATCAAATAGTATGGTTGTCAGGTTTATTGTCTTGCATATATTCCTAATTATTACCCCCACTTCAGAAACAACATATGAACTAACCATTGTATGCTCCATACAGCACACAAAGTAAGGAATGCTAGCTGATATAGGATTAGGAGATTAGCAAAGAGTTCATGGTGATCAAATCGAAACTTGTCGTTAGTCAATCAAGTCTTTGACAGTCGGTTTGAACCAACCACACAGGGATGTGTAGACTACCTACCTACCTGGTCGGATTTCCCCAAGGTGCTAAGATTCAATAAATGCAGACTGTTAGTGGCATGGCTTAAAACCACTCAGCCAAACTCATTAAACCCTCACGTTTTTCCAGGTTACTACAGTTTCTCCGTTTCTCCCGCATATTTCTACTCATCATTAGAGTTCTTTGATATTTCTCTTTTCTCTACATTTGCGTACTACAGTGGAGTGCGGCGAACTGAACTGCTACACCTCCGTATAAAGTTCTTTATCACACTGTCGTAGTAAACATATGGATACTAATTTATAACTCAATTAAACCCAAAACAGATTTCATGGAGGATTTCATCGTGAGGTGATATCAGTTAGAGAACCACTGGAAAACCGGCTGGGATTACTGGACAGCTGTTGGGACTTTTCAGTAGTACACATCCATCACACAGGGTTCGAACCCAGGACCTTCTGGTTACAAGGCTAGTGAGCTCGTATACTATTGAGCTACTGGGACGCGATCCAATGGTCCTTGAATTCTAACTTCTGCCAATTCACGCACAACATAGCGCGACCACTTTGCAATGTCTTCTTCGATGAGTTACTGCCTCATCTTCAACCTGCTGTACCCTAATGGGGACGGCTTCCCACTAGAACCCCAGGTTAACTGCCTGAGTAGGGGCAGTCACTAATGAGAATCAGATTAATTTTCAAGTATTGGTTTTGTAGGGATTTTGTTTGATTGCACGGAAGATTTCATGGGAAGCTGTGACCAGTAGGGTACAGCAGGTCAAAGATGAGGCAGTAACTCATCGAAGAAGACATTGCAAAATGGTCGCGCTATGTTATGCGTGAATTGGTAGAAGTTAGTATTCAAGGACCATCGGATCGGGTCCCAGTGGCTCAATGGTCTACGAGGTCGCTAGCCTTGTAACCAGAAGGTCCTGTGTTCGAACCCAGTTGGGGTGGGTGCATACTGCTGAAGAGCCCCGAACAAGTGGGACGAGACACAGTTGGCTGTCCAGTACTCCTCCCAGTTGGTTTTCCAGTGGTTCTCTAACTGATGTCAACTCATGATGAAATCCTCCATGCAATCAAACACAATCCCTAAAAAACCAATACTCCAAAACAGATTTTTCATAAGCTCAACTGTGAGACACACTTCTTAGTGTGTGTGTGTGTGTGTGCGAGAGAGAGAGAGAAAGAGAGCTGATGTTAATACTACCACTCCGCTATCTACATAAACATAAACCACGAGGGACAGAAGGGTGCGGGGCAAGGATTTGAACCTCGGGAATTCAGTGACTGCAAATCGAACGCCTTAGTTTATACTGAGCTGAGCCGCACACACACACACACACACATACATCATACCTAAGAACTAAACTATGGAGAAAATGCTGACAAATAAACAAAAAGGCATTTACAGCTTTCAAAATTCTATTATCATATATAAATAACATACTTTAAAAAAATCATGTCACCGCACACACATAAATACGTATATATATACCACATCAAAAGCTTAACAACAACAAAGAAACATCCTTCAAAAAACAAAATCGCTATTCTGACGAGTAAGTTTTACACCAAACTAAGAGAGGCAAACAGAGCCTTGAGTATAAAAAAACCAGGTTGAAGAAACAACCAAAAGAACACATATAAAAAACCCATAAATTAATACAAATGAACAATCGAATAAAAACAGCCAAAAAAAACGCTGGAGTGTAAGGCAGCACACATCTGGAGAGGAGAATCAGCGTTGGCGAGATTTACCCCCCCCCCAGATAGATTTTATGTAGTAACCTACGATGGTCACTGGAATCAAGAAGTATGTATGTGTATGAATTATTTGTTTTTAATGTGTGTTTGTGTGTGTGTCTGTGCATACGTGTTGCATTGTAGAGTGTGATACAATCTAACAAATACGCGTACACAACCTTATGTATGTAACAACAATAACAATAATAAAAAAATATTTGTGTATGAGTATATAGTGTTACACGAAAACTTACAAAAAAATTGCAAAACCACAAAATGATAATAATAATTGGAAGATCCCAGTTTGTGTATGTATTTATGTATGCATGTGCGTGTGTGTGTGTCTGTTAAGGCATACACGCACACATGGCAAAGCACACACATACAAGCATCGGTGTACCCTCTCTCTCTCTCGTGAGGAACACACAGACGGAGAGAGAGAGGGGGAGGCAGGTAGGCAGACAGGTGAGCAAGCAAACAAGCGATCAGAACTCATACACTGGAGCAAATTGATATTCTTAAAAAATCAAAAAAAAAATTGGAAAACCACGAATCATATACAATATCGTCAAATTGAGCAATCAGTCAGATTTCTTTTTTTTTTATTACTGTTGTCGTTATTGTTGTCTATATTTTTTGTAATAGAAAAGTATGATGTGTGTAAAGCAGAGCATAAAAATCCAAACATATAACAAAAATATGTATGCGATAATAATAATGTCGTGAGTACTGGCGATCACTGACGTTAGTGACAAAGGCACACATACACAAAGGGAGGGTGACAGACTATGACTGTAATCAGTCCTAGAAGTAGTATTGTTAGGGTTACTGTTGAGATATTCAACAGTAGATTAAAGGCACATGTGTTGTTTGTTACTCGTCACACACACCCCCACTCCTCTTTCCTGTATAATACTGAGTATTGGTAATACAGTAACAATAATGTATAAGAACAGCTATTAAAATAATAGTAATAATAATAATAATAATTACTATATAAGACAACACCGATTGGAAGAATCCTTATTGTAAAAAAATAGTACAACTCACAATGAATACACGTAGGTGTAGGTGTATATGTAAAATGGAACGTAGAAAAGTTAAGGCATTTTACTTTCGATGCTAAAATCATATGTAATATCAAAATAAATAAATAAAACCTTGGAATATATATATATATATCCTCTGTTCAATGATGTTTCAATCCTGGCTGTGTAAAATGTTTACGTGTATGCCATGCACAGGCATATTTACATGTGAATGGTTTGTCACAGATTGTACACTTATAACGCACACCTGTATGCGAATTCATATGCCTACGAACTTGGTAAGCAGAGAAAAATTCTTTAGAGCAAATATCACATCGAAAAAATCGTTGACCCGTGTGTACATAAAAATGTCGTGTCAAATTACCAAGCCATTTAAACGGTTTACTACAACTAGGACAAAAATACATTAACTGGCCATCAATCATTTCTGAGGGGACATCACCTTTCTTCCAGACATCTTTACGCTTTAAACAGATATGATGATATAGACTGTAATCATTACGATAATATTTACCGCATTGATCACATTTGAGCATTTTTTGTGAATGATCATTTGTATTTGTTGTTGTTGTTGTTTGTAGTGTTGGTGTATACCGCCCAGTAAATAATGATCTAGAACACTTATTATATTGAAAGTATGACGAGAAATTATGATTGAATTTTCTAACAAAATGACTATTATTAGTTGGTAGGGCTTCTCTACGATATGGAAGACTGTTGTTGTTGTTGGTTAAACGAGAGGCATTCAACTGTGGTGGTGGTGGTGGTGCACTATTCATCATCGCCGCCGTCATCATCATTCCAGACCAACTACCACCTTCAGAAGATGATGGTAATGTTGAATCTGGAGTTATTGAAGCAGTAGTATCACATGACAGGGGACTTGCACGTATTAAACTGTTGTTATTATTATTACTACTTGATAATTGTTCTAATGATGATTCGATAATTTTTGATTTGATATCAGGTTCATCTTCACCAACCCAAAATACTTCACCATAACATGAATTAAAAGATGATGCATTATCATTTTTATCACCTGTATCTGTTGATATAACAAGTGGTTTTGACAGTGAACGTTTAGTTTCATCTGCAGCGTTTTCATTTGCAGTTTTTACCGAACAAATAGATAATTTCGACGCATCATCGTTGGCTGGTTGCCAATTGGTATTATTACATTTGCCTTCTTCAGTATTCGCAAAAACATCGTCATCCTCCTCATCATCAAAGCTGCAAGGGAAGAGAGAAATGCAACAACAACAAAAAAAAACCAAGTGAAGTATGCGATTGTGTGAGTAGAGCATTTTCACAAAATAATATTTTATCGAATTCAAGTAAAATATTAAAAACAAAAGTGTATCAAGCGAGTATTTCCTAATAACTCTGAGGACTTCTGTCTGTCTGTTTTCGACATAGAACGTAGCACCGATGTGCAGCAGTTCAAGTCACCACACTCCACTCCTGGTTGTAGCACACAAACCAACAGAAGAAAGTAGAGGAAATGCATAATAGAGACAGTAAACAGAGAGGTGTGAGACAAAGGAATGGTAATAATGAAGAATGATATAGTTTCATTGGTAATCAGAAGTCACAGGGAGTGGATGCATATATATGCCAGCCATTGAGAATGATTTACAGACATATCACCGATTGTCCCCAGCTTTTATTGGTGTTTACCGTCCCGACGACCCCAACCAGTCAGGAAGTCTACACCTTCCTACGTGGCTTAGACTAACTGTTGTAGATTTCATTGACTGGTCCCATGTTTTGTTTGACCGCCGCTAGCTTTTTTCCAGCCTGACCCTATATTCGCTAACATTGCCCATTGTCGAAGAAGGCGATGACTAGGCACACGTAACACATGTCCTAACCATCTCAGTCTTTGTAACTCCACAACTTCGTCGATTGATTTCCCCTCCTTACCTACCACTCGTCCGAGGCCTAACCTAAATATTGCTCAACCTATTACATCTACCACTTCACACGGGAGATAGAGCGCGGGCACCTATAATCGAAGACAGCTAATCATTTCATGTCTTCCACTCGTAATGGTCAGGTCTCGCTCACAGCCATTAAGGAGGACGGAGCGGACTGCTGAGCAGTACACAGGACTTTTGGTCGGTAGCCAGTTGGATATCACGTCTACTAAGTCAGAGACGGCGTAAACTGGCAAATGCGAAACGAGCCACCTGTATCCGTGCTGAGATTTCGTCAGAGATCAACCCGTTGACACTGGCTGATGGTCGCGTGACTCAAAGTAATTGATGGTACTTAGTAGAACTGATTCAAAATCGAAAGACAGTCGAGTTAAGAACACTGATAATAATAAGTAGAAATGTAGCAGCGGGGAGGGGTTAGGACAGATTAGGTCCTTTGTATGTTCAATAACTGAAGCAACATCTGTTTACAACACAGTTTGTCGCTTTTGTGGTTGAAGAAGTTCGATTTCTACTTCGGCATAATTTCCGCACAGTAGACCAATGACTTTGAAGTTGATTTGCAGGTTCACTTGATGTCCAAAATCGATCAAATGTTCCAGAATAGAGCGGCAGGGAGATATCTTTTTTCCTAAGTAAAACCATGAGGGCAAGTGTTCGGTTGTACATTTGGATAGCAAACATTGAATACGGTCGGCATAATCAGCTCCACATGAGCAAGTGAAGTCATATATACTAATAAGGCCAGCAATGATAACTTATCCTTCACATTATTGAGAATTATTTGTTTTGTAGAGGAACTGAGTCGAAGTTCAGTTTCGAAAAAAGTTAACTTCAATCAAAGGGAGAGGTGGTTTCGCCGTATTCTCTCTACCCCCCTCCTCCAAAGTCTCCGTTGAATTGTAGATTCAAATAGAGGTGTAATTTAGGGGTAGAAAGTCTCTACAGCTTTATAGCGGTTTGAAGTTCATGAATTTTTTATGACCTAATCTGTCTCAAGACTGGACACGTAACTGTTGGTCTTTAAAAGCATTATCTCCCATCCAACTATTACATTTTGTACTCCCGGTTGTCACTGTTCTTAACCTGACTGTTTTTCTACCTAAGTTGAGTTCTACTCAATCCCGTCACACATTTAATAATACTTGCAAGTAGATACCATAAAATATCTAAGAGAAATATTTTATAGACAAAGCATAGTTGGCATTTTGGAAATAAAAGATGATAACTGACTTACTCATCAACAAACCGGGGATCAGAGACATCTGCAAATACAGCTGTTTTTATAACCGCCTTCTTTCTCTTATCAAATGTTAAAATCAAATAACCTTCTGGAACAGAATCTTCAGACACTGATGAGGTTGGGCAAGAAGAAGAGCTACAGTCTGTATTATCGGAGACACGAGCTAGCAAGGGGACATCCACCATGATCTATCTACCTTGTTACATTATAAAGATACAATTGTATTTAAATATACATGATATTTTAAAGATAATTAATATAAAACCAATGATGAACAATATGTATTGTTAAGTATATCCAGGTTTAATACTCCGTTTACCTCAACAAAAAGTTACTCTGATCTACGTTGTTCCAAGTACTAACTGACAGTTTCGAAAGCGGTCTGCAGATACTTTTCATCTGGATATACGTAGCAAAGCAGCTGAGTGCGTCAGCAATTTAACCAGCTTTGAAAGTGGTATTAGCCCTGGTGAGTTAGTAATCAAGGAAATCTCGACAGGAATGAAGAAGGCAGGCTTGAATTTCGTCAACTCCCCCTACTTATAATACAGGCAAGAAATCAAATAGATTACTGATGGTGGCGCGAATTCAGTAATGAGTTCTGCTGTGTGCGGTTGCGAAAGGTAATCCTTAGAAGTAGTGGACACACAACAATCGCATACATCTGATCACTACCACCTTTGTGATCATGCCAGCGTTTGGTAACACTTGAACACTTAAGTAATGCATAAATCGGACATGTCTGTCTATCTGTTTTCGACGTAGAACTTTGCACATATGTGCGGAAGTCCGAGTCACCACACTCCACTCCTGGTTGTAGCACACAAACCAACAGAAGAAAGTAGAGGAAATGCATAACAGAGACAGTAAACAGAGGTGTGAGACAAAGGAATAGTAATAACGAAGAACAATATAGTTTCATTGGAAATCATAAGTCACAAGGAGTGGACGCATCTGCGCCATTGAGAGCGATTTTGAGCTATATCACCGATTGTCTCCAACCATTGACTTTTACCGTCCCGACGACCCCAACCAGTCAGGAAGTCTACACCTTCCTACGTGGCTTAGACTAACTGTTGTAGATTTCATTGACTGGTCCCATGTTTTGTTTGACCGCCGCTAGCTTTTTTCCAGCCTGACCCTATATTCGCTAACATTGCCCATTGTCGAAGAAGGCGATGACTAGGCACACGTAACACATGTCCTAACCATCTCAGTCTTTGTAACTCCACAACTTCGTCGATTGATTTCCCCTCCTTACCTACCACTCGTCCGAGGCCTAACCTAAATATTGCTCAACCTATTACATCTACCACTTCACACGGGAGATAGAGCGCGGGCACCTATAATCGAAGACAGCTAATCATTTCATGTCTTCCACTCGTAATGGTCAGGTCTCGCTCACAGCCATTAAGGAGGACGGAGCGGACTGCTGAGCAGTACACAGGACTTTTGGTCGGTAGCCAGTTGGATATCACGTCTACTAAGTCAGAGACGGCGTAAACTGGCAAATGCGAAACGAGCCACCTGTATCCGTGCTGAGATTTCGTCAGAGATCAACCCGTTGACACTGGCTGATGGTACTTCCCAAATAAGTGAAGCGGTCAACGTGCTCTACCACTTCACTTCCTATTTCTAATCTATGAGTCGGTGTAGTCCAGTCAGTCCTTTAACATCATCTTGCATTTGGCGGGAGCGAATCGCATGCCAAACATTCGTAGATTGCAGCTCAAGGTGTTTAGAAGACTCTGCATTTTGTCAGTGTCCTCGCCTAGAAGGACTATATCGTCTGCATATTCCAAGTCAACGAGATTATTCCCCGGTAGCAAGTCAATCCCTGAGTCGCTGAAGTCATTTAGGGTTAAGTCCATTAGTACATCTATGATGAAGTTGAATAGAAAAGGGGATAATGGGCATCCTTGACAGACACCACTAGTCGTCATCAATTAAGATGACAGCTCGCCGTAAGCCCTCACCTGGCTGTATGAGTACGAATAGAGTGCCTTAATCAGTGCAATATATTTTCTCGGAATTCCCCTTACAGCCAAGCATCTCCAGAGAACCTCTCGGTCGACAGAATCGAATACCGCCTTTAGGTCAAGAAATATAATGATTGTTGGGCGCCGGTAGGAATTCCTGTTCTAGAATCTGTCGGAGGGTGAAGATATGATCAATACACCCTCTTCCTGGTCTAAAGCCTGCCTAGCTCTCTCGTTTGTGCCTCCCGAGTACCACTTAGTTTACGCATGATTATTGAGCCTAGGACTTTAGATACTATATTAGTCAAGCTAATCCCTCTGTGATTATCACAGGAAGACTTGTCTCCCTTCTTGTATATGGGGATAATCAGTGACTTACACCAACCCGATGGGACTTCTTCTGATTCCCAGACGCTGTCTAGAACCTCAGTTAATCCAGACAGTAAACTGTCTTCACCGTACTTAAATACCTCTGGAGTCATTCCTTCAGGTCCCGCTGAGAAATCGGGCATAAAATCCTATTAAGGATAAGTAAATTTGTTAAGACTTTACTGTCCCTCGTTTTATTACCTCCCGCATGCGTCGACATGAAATCATCAGCTTCAATAATTACATATTAATATTAGGTTCTACGCGCTGATATTTTCAGCTTGACGTTACCTAAGAAATGGATTACTAAATATGCATCTACCAAGGTCTTCGGATTGTTGTGCATAGAAAATCTCAGAGAACCTTTCAGTCAGTTTAGTATCGACCATCTTAACTGTTCTAGCATATTTCAATGGTGATTTAGATTCTGTACTTCATATTAAGCTAAATCTATGTTGAATATATCTCTGATTAGTATGATGGAATTATTACAAAAATACCAGCAGTTATTCACGCATACTGATATTTACCAGTGGACTTAGATACCACAGAAATAAGCTATCCTCATCACTATCAGTGATAACCATCACTGTATTCAGATAATTTAGTAAAAGAAGCATTGAAGTGATTGGGATGAATGGATTTTCGAAATAATTAATGTCAACGTCTTTATTTCATATACTTAGTGGATACGTTCCACTTGGCTTAGATGTACGCTATGAAAAAGGATGATTCATCAGTTAATTTGTCTAAAATTCACATCGGCTATATCTCATTTAATCAATTTAGACCTTGACTAATTCTTCTTGCTTTGTAAGCAAACTAGTGAGAAATAGGACACCAGAATCCAAGCAAGTTTCGCAAGCATAAAAATCTCTAAATTATGATTGAGAAGTAGTGTTTGGAAAATTCCATAATACATAAGAATAGAACTGACTGCACAAGATTATCTAGTTGAGTTAACAGCTGTGGTCTTACATTTTAAAAAATATACATAAGCCTTAGAATCTCAATTGAATACAGGTGTTTGGATCAGTTTAGAGCAACAGCAACCGTTCGAATGTAACCGACGGTGTTATTCTACCCCTTTATGGATTTCAATCCGAGTAAAAGTTGACGGCGCAGCTCTCTAAAACAAACATCGTTTTCAGCATCTAGGCAGTATCCCCCACATCACATAGACTATGACAGTCCAACTATGGTTTGAAATCGACTTAATTAATCAGTTATACTATCTACTGAACCTCATAATTACATTCATATCGTTGAATTAGATTCTCCCACATAATGGAGCCCTCTACCTTAAGACAATGCTCTATGGCCGGGAATACTGCTCTAATTAACAGAGCAAGCTAGTGTCATAACACACAATCCACTCACGCCTGTTATTTTAAAGGGGGGAGAAACCCTGATAAAAGGATTGTTTGAGATATGGAATTCTGAATTATGGCACATTATAGCACTAAACGAAGTAGCCAGCTGCGCAAGAATTACTGGCAGGTGACGTACTCGCAAGCTTTTCAAACCACATGAAACTTATCTGCAAAGAGTAGGCTGGTGTGCCAGTCACGTGTCCACCCTTCGCTGTCGATCAGATCACCGCACGTGCAGAAGGTCAGCGACAAAAGAATATCCCAAGTGTTAGAAAAGAATTCCTTCACACTTGGTCCATTTAGAGAGAGGGGACAATGGCGAAATATTTTTCAATACCTTATAAGTTTTCAACGCATACCTCAGTAAAGTAAATGCACAAAGATAAACGCACTCACTGAGAAACTAGGTGAAAACAGACAGAGTGGGTCAAATTCGCTATCCCTCAAGCTTTGGTCCATGTGATGTGGACCTATTAATCAGAAAAATTGACGCACAGCATGCGGACAATTTCGTTGTGATGTATATTATCATGCAGACTTGAAAGAGCAATTATGGGGCTGCCCGCATGATGCATGCTATGCAACAACAGACTCCGAAGTACTTCACGAAGACCGGTGGAAGCTTGTAGCCGTAATCATTCAGATTGCCTGACTGAGTCTCAACATCGAAATTTGATTTTGGCCGACCACGTATTCCTATGTAGACGAGGTGTAACCTCTGACGATACCGATACTTTAATAACACTTTTGGCAATAAAAATTTAGAGCACTTCCTTCTCTACGCTCGTAAAACCTGCCCCTGCGATTCTGTTTGGAGAGTATTTCCATTTTTCCTAGGATTCTATGTTTGACAACTCCAGCATTGAAAACAGTGGAAATAATCAGCTCACAACGCGACGCCATAAGACGAAAGGTGTGTCAGGTTAGCATTCGTTAGTGCGCTGGAAGAGTTGGAGAGAATATACGACTCCATGGCATCAAATGTCATGAATCATGACACAAGTCATACTAGCTGCAACTGAACTGTGTGTGTCGGTGGCACAGCTCTTAGTACTCTTATTGAACATGCACATGGTCCAGGATTTGATCCCCTGCTGATGCTAACCTGATATCAATGGTCGGCCTGAAAAATTTGGGCTGCATGCCGAAAATTCCATACTTGAACCGAAAATACGGTGTGGAATCAAACTATAATTAAAAAATACCTCCCATTTTTTCAAGGTAATACAAAGTGACAAACGCGCCTTCGAACGCACCAAATGAGAATATTCATCTAATTTAGGTGTTTACTAACTACATTTCAGCCTTTTTAACACTAATGAATTTATCACATCCGTTGGGGACCCCGTTGTGAAGATAGTGATTTTATATGAATAAATACATATAATTGATCAGGTACATCCCCTGAAGTTACTAATTAATTACGAGGTAAGGCGAAGAACTGGAAAACTTCTGGATCTATACAAAGTAGGCATGCTTAGCACATTCGGCATCTCATGGTAATTATAATCCTAAAATTCAAACCAGAGGAATAATAAATGATATTAGCTGATGTCGTGTGCTTTTGCACACAAAGAACTGACCGATGTGAAGCTGATCCATTAGGGTTATACAAACAGACATAGTAGCAGTATAGTCCTTTGAAACTTAGGCGACATGTCGTACATTGATCTCACTGATTCCACTAAACTTTGTGTCAACTCATTGGTGACATAACTTTTTACAGGTGGCAGCTTACACAACAAAATAACAGTATCTTTCGTCCTATTTTCACGTTATATATACATACATGCAAGCTTAATGCAGGAAGCCACTTGCATCAACACATGACTATCATAGAGGACTTTCTTGAAGTGCACCACAGCGAAATTTTGAGAACAGAAGAACAAGGATAAAGTCGGTTTTATGGAGGCAGGACAAAACACTACAGTTTTTACCGTAACTAACCTAAACACTCATATTCATGTATAACACTTCCAAAACGCCGGCAGGAGTTAAAGAAACACGCAGCTTAGTCCAGTAAAACAAAACAATAACATGAAGGCTTATGTGAAATAACTCATCAGACTTTCAGAGTTCCTCAAAACAAGCAATTTTATGAGTTTTTATTACCGTTTTTTATCAGGAGAAATTCAATTTCTAACATAATCTTGACACTTTTGTACTAGCCAATTGATTTTTCCATGGTGGCTTATCGAGGCCGTGGGACAGCTCTAGATCTGTGTAGAACCCCATGCGAATAAATCCATGCCATCATCTTATGAAGTTCTATCCAATGCTGTAAGTGGAAAGATACCAGTCTTTTGGAGAAACACATGATTTGTCGCACGACAGTATCGTCACTGAGATAAACAGTCATTCAAACCACTTGAAACCATAGTGAGAAATAAAATATTAAGGCAATAGAAGAAAAACTGAGAACCTGATCAAGCGGAATGAATTGTGAATGAGACAAAGAATTGTACACAGGAGGGGAAAAAGAAAACAATGGAAATTATGAAAGGTAGATTAAGAATGGGAAATTTTTGAAAGTAATATACTGAATACATGAATCAATTAATAAAATAAATGCTGTGATCGTCAAGCCGTTACCTCTAAAGCGGTTTCTGTCATTCAGTACTGTGCTTGTAGCGTTAAGCTGAACCTATTAAATTACGATGTAGTAGCCACTTCAGCCTACAGTGAATTATGTGAATAAAAAACACTAGGAGAAAGTGAAGCCTGACGATATTCTTGTTACCGCCATTGGATGGCCATTCCTTTTCGGGTTTCCACAAGGAGCACAGCGCTACTGCTCCGATAGAATATCTCCATTTGGCTGTTTTCAGTTAATCACTATTGACTGGACCACTATGAATTTGCCCCTACATCTACGATGGTGGAAAGCATGCACATTTGACCCTCACAGTAGGTTTCTATTTGGATTGTGAATGACGGATGGCAGCTTTCGTCACTCTCCTCGTAGATCTCTTGGGAGAATGACGCCTTTCTTCAAGCTAAGCATTGCTGTAGTCTACTTGAATTTAAAATGGGACCAGACAAAAGGTGTCAGACACGTCTCGTTAACCGTTAATGCCCAGCTCTTGCTACGCTGGGACTCACACTGTTCCTCGAAGCTCCTCAGAAACCCTGAGTACGATGGGACGCAAAAACCAGAACCCAGTTTGGCGACTGGAGAATTATTTATTCTAACACCAACATATAGCCAATGTACAACTAAGGCTTCTGACGGTATTCTCTTGACTTCCTTCAGAACAGCGACCGATGAGACGATGACTGGTGTATTGATGCCTCCGCGAAAAATATGGAGGAGTTGGCTTTGAGCAAACAACCATGAATTGATCGTTCAATCTTCAACTACATTGACACTCCCCGGCAAAAAAGGGATCCATCCCTTTTTCCATCACGACCAATACACGTTGACTTGGATGCCATTGCGAGAGCCCGGGTCACACGGACAGAGCTGAAATGGAAAACAAACACAAAAGCCAATACACCACAGGCATACCCACAGCACAATCTCACACATCGATGACGAACTAAAACTTCGAATTAAAGATATCCTCTTGAAATCTTGCAACGCGATCGTCACTTGCTAGAATGACTCTTGCAGAACGCAAAGTGACCATAGCAGCACCTCACGATACTCTACGCATATCCTCTTATCTATTCACTACCAATTACCACTGTGATCGCTTGTAACTCTTCCTGCCTCAGTTCTAGTAATGGTGACGTATGCAAGCCTCAGTCGTCTACACTCTCGCTCCCCGGCGTGTGGGACCACAGCTAATCATTATCTCCGTATTCATGTCATTCTCGGCACTAGCCTAGCCTCCTCGATGTATACGACCCATCTGCTGTCCTTAACATCAATCAATTCATTCATGGATGTAGAAGACTAGAAACAACTTCAGAAGTAATCACGACGAAAATTTTGACAAAATTATGCAATAAAGTTCGAAAACAACAAGTAAACACAATGAATCCAAAAAACACCCATTGATATGACACACCACACATGTGCAAAAGGTGCACACAAACCCGCAGATCGTGTCTCGATGGAATTTCCTTGAAGAATTGCAGGACTTACACTAGTACGCCTACAACCCTTCAAAGGTTGATGATTGTAAGTTGAAGAATGTCCGGACACAAACAAGACTAACCAACAATTACAATAATTGGAACTCACAAAACTATTTAACACAAACATATGTACAATCAATACATCAAAGTGGTGGATTCTGCCTTGAAGAACTGTAGGACTTACAGCAGTACGCCTACATTTTTTCTCAGGTTGATGATACAAGTGGAAGTCGTCCGGACGCAAACAGAATTACCAACAGCTAGATGACAGATGATATCAATTCAGTATATACAATATGAACATATGTACAAAATCACACACCAAGCACATTGGACTGCTCATTGATGCGCTACCCTTTGAAGAATTGTAGGACTTACAGCAGTACGCCTACAACCCTTCTCAGGTTGACGCTCTAAGTTGGAAAATCGTCGCAGAGTTCATTTGCTAACATCCTTCTATCAGCCATATCCTCAAATCTGAACGGTAACACGCTCATGTAATTGTATCGTAGAATATAGATGACCAACAAACACACGACATATCTCATCAACCTAGTGTAGAAACAGAGTAATTTACACCAAAGATAATAACATTCAAATAGTAACTTGAAACTAGAAATGCCTTTATTCGTGCAAGTCAATTTAACGATAACTCTCTCCTTTACACTTGGCTTATCCACACTAAACTGACCATTGATATTCGTCCTTTCAAACGGACTGATACTACCATAGTCATTGCACAAGATACTTGAGTTGATGGGCATCTGTTTCATTGTGGATGACAGCACCAACGATGACTGAGTGACACAAGGTGATGAACTTAGTGGTGGATCAGAAGCTGTTCTTGTTCGGCTCTCAGATAGTTGTCTAACTGCAAGATTACCACCGCTGCTGTCTTTTACTATTAGCTCCGGTTCAGCACTAGCATCTGATGATAGGTGGGCTTCACTCTGATCAATTACACTGACGGTCTCACAAGTATGCATGCCTTCTGCAACTGAATCTGCATTAATTTCTACTTCACGTTCAAGTTGTACAGAACCTTTGTTCAACTTAGCAGTAGTAGGCATATCCCTCATCTCATCATGATCAACCAAAGACAAATGTGCTCTATCATGATCATTATCACGAATATTCACCTTACCGTCAAGTTCATCATTTTCAAAGTCTTTAATAACAGAAGTAGACAATTTTGGTTCCTCTTCACAAATCCTAAAAGGTTTTATATCTTCACTCTGACTAGTGATACCTTGTAAACTTGTGGAGTCAGAACTGTCCTCTGAGACTGTAACTCTCTTCTGCGGTGTCGTCTGTGACACTCTATTCAACAATGGCTTGCCAGTTGCAACTACAGGCTTCTTGACCACACTGTTATCGTCACACAATTCGAAGTCAAACCTTGATGACGCTGATTTCACATTTAGATTTTCAATAAACTTGGTCACTTCTTCACAGCTCGCCTTTATATGCACTTCTTGCAAATGTGTGAAACACAACCGTGTTTGTCTTGCATCTTGTAACCTACCTATTGAGCATGTACTACGAAAGCTGTTACACTCACTAAGTTTATATGGATTACAAGACATCATAGAGACTTCTCGATATCCACCTCTCTGAGACCCTTTCATCATCTATGATTGTGTTTTGCTCTCAGACTGCTCAATTCTAAGGGTGGGATGCAATATACTAGCAAACTTGCTCATATGTTGATTGACACTATCGTTTACCAGCTTCAGAATATCATTAAACTTCAGCTCGATACCTTCATTCTGTATACGAGAGCCTATCTTCACCCACTTCTTTTGCAGTCAAGTAGGTGGGCGTCTCGCTATTACCTCTAAGGCTGTGCTTGAGTTCAGATCACTCAATCAATTCATCGAAATCAACGTATTCTTGTAAGCCAACGGATTATCCAAAACCTCAGTGAGTGCCTTGGAGTCAACTTGTAATTGACGGCCATTACCCTTAACAGCCTCGAATAATATCCCTACAATCATCGAAGGTCTTACGAATCTTTGACGCAGTATACTTATAGCCCCAGTGTATCCTTCTTCAGAGGTCATCAACTTACAGCACTGTATAGCTCTTGAAGCAACTCCAGTGCAGTACCTCATCAAATACATCAACTTCATTTCATCACTTAATAGAAAACTACTCAGCATGATGTCAATCTCCTTTACAAACTGTAAATAGTCAGCTGGGTCTCCGTCGAAACATCGAGGTTCAAATTTATGCAGTTTAAAGTTCCTATTATCCCTAGGCGTCGAAACCTTAACATCAACCACATCATGTTCAACATCTGACACGTCGTTTCAAGTAACAGACATGTCACCATGACTTACTTTCCTGTCTGCATCCAAGACGCTTTGTGCCTTCTTCTCCCAAGCATTGTTGAACTTTACCCTGTTCCAAAATTGTTTCAGATATTGCTTGTCCAAGGAAGACTTGGCCGGCACCAGGAAAGATGAACGGTTACTATCCAAACTGTCACCAACTGTCCGACTCCGTCAGAAACTATCAGCCACGTCTCGTAAACCGTTAATGCCCAGCTCTTGATACTCCCGGCCTCACGCTTTTCCTCGAAGCGTCTCAGAAACGCTTAGTACGAACGGACGAAGAAACCAAAACACAGACTGGCCACTTGAGAATTGTTTATTCTAACACCAACATATAGCCAACTTTACAACTAAGGTCTATGAACAAGTATTACAATAATAAATCACAATATTACTTCTGACGGTTTTGTACGTGCTTTTCGAACAGCGATCATTGAGACGATGACTGGTGTATTGATGCCTGTGCAAAAATTGGGGAAGTTGGGTTTTGTGCAAAGAACCGCGAATTGATCGTTCAATCTTCAACTACATTGACAGTTACCGAAAGCCTTGTAACTTTGGAAATGTCTCAAAGTGTTTGGGAAATTATCCCGGCGGCACT